TATTCCAGCTCTCTCTGAAGTGTTAGGTACTTCCTTGAGAATCCTGGAATATCCCCTCTTTTTAAGTTTAATGTCGTTCGATAGCATGATGTAATAATAGATTCGAGGGTTTGGGTCTTGGATATTCCAGCTCTCTCTGAAGTGTTCAATACTTCCTTGAGAATCCTGGAATATCCTCCCTCTTTATGCACACACACGCACGCACAACTATGTTTTTTTTATGGGTGGGGTCTCGGATATTTCTCTTCTTCAATGAAGTATTCGTACTTCAGTGAAGTTTTAGAAATATCCATCCCTTATTTACTAGCACAAATATTAAGATACACAAGTATAAAATTGTTGTTATACTTTTGTATTTTAATCTTATTTTATCTAATCTCTTTTTTAAACTGTTTGTTTAGAAAGACAAAATAGTTTTCAAACAGTTCAGATTCAAAAGTATAAAATACAGTTATGCTTTTGTTTTTTTACTTACGTTTGAAAAATTAACACTTAAAGTTTCGAGATATTAACATACTTTTCTTTTTTCTCGTTTCAGGTGTAAAACTCTATATTTTTACCCAAAAATATCATGACTATTTTACATTCATTTTATTTATTGATTGTATTTATTTCAAAACTCTTTGAAACTCTTAACAGTCACTTGTCACTGATGATTTGTTAGACATATTCTAAAACCTATCATACCCTGTTACTAATGCTATTGTAGCCTGTTACTAATGCTCATCTCTTTTTTTCTTCATCTCTTTTAGATAAAGTAGCTTTATTCGTATCATATTTATATATATCTTGCTTATGTTATGATATATCATGCATGTATTATACCTGATACATATTTCTTTTTCTTCTTTCAGGTCACGCAATCCACATCAATGGAATTTATTAAATTTCAAAAAATAAATGCACGCTATGTACAAACAATTGCAGTTTTGGTAATACGATGTACACCTTTAACCCTCCGAGGTCGTGTGCCTGCATTAGGTGGAGGACTACGTTTCCAGGGAGATTTTTCGGCCATTCTTTTGTCTCTGGTTTTTCGTAGCTGGCAGCGCACTATAAATTAGAATGATTTTCATGTGATAAGAGTTCTTAAAAGGGGGATATATAATTGGCTTTTTTACGAGCTCAATTTAGCTTGTTTTCTTTGGCACACATAACTGATCTATAGGAGAAATAAAAAGCGAATTTATAAATATCTATGTTGCCTCGTGTTTTTTGTTAATCATACCTCGTCACTTTTGGGTTTTCAACGAATAATTCGAAGATGCTTTGATTCAAGAGTTTTACTTTTGGTTTTTCAACACACGCGTCGATGGCTTTTTTGGGTTTTCAACGAATTCGAAGATGCTCTTGGTTTTTCAACAGCTGCCTCGACGTTTTTGGGTTTTCAACGCTAAAACGCATTTTTCTTTGGAGTTTTCTACGATTTCGAAGATGCTTTGCAAGCCCCAAGATGTTTAGTTCAAAATTTTTGCATTTGGTTTTCAACAAACGCACCGACTTTTTTTGGTATTTCAACAATTTCGAAGACGCTTTTCAAGTACTAAGAAGCTGTTGGTTTTCAACCCTGGCAGTCCTGAAGACTTCTGCAATTTGCAAGCGGAGCTAAAATTGTTGATTTTTATGTGTGCCAAAGATTTTGAAACTCTGTAAGCTAGTAAAAAATAACTTGGCTTTTTATTCATTTTAATTTTCAATTGCATGACAATTGGCATTGTATTTTGGCCTTCCTGTTCGGCTCTAAACCCCACCCCAAACTCAGTAGTGTAACAGCGCATGCTCGGCTCACGAGCCAAGAGGACTGGGTGCGATCCCCAGCTGAGTTGGTGGAAAGTAGGAGTTTGAAAAACCAGTACATTTTAAAGTTTTACATTATTTTCCTTTCCAAAACACGAGAGGCGATTTTCTGAATTGATTACTTTGTCGCACGTTTAAATGCATAATTTAATTTCTATCTGAATCGGAACGCATTGTCTACAATCAGTATAAAAACTAATATAGATAAATATTTGATAATAGGCCAATGCTAGCCTAGCTAGCCTATGAATACGTAGTTTCCGTACGTATGAAGAGTAGATGATTCACTCATTCGATATCATGCTTGATAAAGATGAAAAGAAATGGCAAAATAAGTGGACTAAAATCACCTATACACTGAGTACACTTAACCTTTTTCTTCTCGTAAAAGAAATATTTTTCAATAATTTCTAAAAATAACTTCGCGAAAGCAATTCTTGAAGAAATGTTAAACTTTTAAAATTGATTGGAATTTGAAATTCCAAAGGAAAAAAATGTCCCGATCCGACACTCCACCTTAGAAAATTCCGATCCAAGGAGTTATTCCAGATCCTGAATTTCCATAATTTTGGATTTTAAGGCTAAAACCACAAAATTCTAAAAGAAAAAGTGAAATGGGTCTCAATGGCATAATTTGTTTTGCTTTTTTCGTAAAAAGGAAATGGTTTTACGAGCATCAAATGTATCCACCCTCAGGCCACTTGTACGTCATTATTCACGCCCGCCCCGCCCCACCCCAACCCAACCTACAATTGGACTTCAGGCGGTATTCTATTTAAATGTATTCTTTTTTTTTTATTAAGGTCTATCTTATATCAAGGAATGTTCGCGAGTTGTTCTACGGAACAATGCGAGTTGATTAAAAATGCCACGGGTTTGGTTGATTACCTAATAACGCAAAACCGAGACTGAAGGCTGAGCAAAGAGAACTCGAAACTGGCGGATTGGACTTTTTGAATTTTGACTTACTGCAATTTGACCTATTTCACTATGACGTCACATCAAAAAATCTATTGTTTAAACGTAAAGGATCATGGTCGTCGGAGGGGGTCAAATCAACGCAAATTCACCGAAAATTGTTCTAAAACCCCTATCAATCAATGAAGAGAAATAGGATAGCCAGAAAACGCTCAGAATATTTTTTACTACGTACATATTAACACATATTATATCTCAAAACCAGGCAATTTTAGATATTAAACTGTTTCGCTAGGAGCAAATGTTGTTGAATTTTCTATTGGATTTGGCGATTCTATCCCCCACATAAACAAGCAGTGACGTCATAGTGAAACAGGGCAATTGCACTGCTAACAAAACATAGAGGCTGAAGAGAAAAACTATATATACACCAAATATCAGTCGCAGTCCAGGTATAAGGGATACTCGCAGTTCAGGTATAAGGGATACTCGCAGTCCAGGTAAAAGGGAAATATACTCGCAGTCCAGGTTTAAGGGATATATACTCTCAGTCCACGTTTAAGGGATATATACTCGCAGTCCAGGTAAAAGGGAAATATACTCGCAGTCCAGGTATTAGGGATATATACTCGCAGTCCAGGTTTATGGGATATATACTCTCAGTCCACGTTTAAGGGATATATACTCGCAGTCCAGGTAAAAGGGAAATATACTCGAAGTCAAGGTAAAAGGGAAATATACTCGCAGTTCAGGTATTAGGGATATATACTCGCAGTCCAGGTTTATGGGATATATACTCGCAGTCCAGGTATTAGGGTGTATACTCGCAGTCCAGGTTTAAAGGATATATACTCGCAGTCCAGGTAAAAGGGAAATATACTCGCAGTCCAGGTATTAGGGATATATACTCGCAGTCCAGGTTTAAGGGATATATACTCGCAGTCCAGGTTTAAGGGATATATACTCGCAGTCCAGGTTTAAGGGATATATACTCGCAGTCCAGGTATTAGGGATATATACTCGCGGTCCAAGTTTAAGGGATATATATTCGCAGTCCAGGTATTAGGGATATATACTCGCAGTCCAGGTATTAGGGATGTATACTCGCAGTCCAGGTATTAGGGATATATACTTGCAGTCCAGGTATTAGGGATGTTTATCATATGACCCGTACGGCCCTGCTCGCGCGCTCTAATAAAACCATTGGAAAAAGTCACGTGATGGGGGCCGGACGGGTTGACGTAAGCGGGCCGGAAAAACCCGTCCGGCCCTGCTCGAATCCGCGCGCTTTCTTTTTCTTATTTATTTTTATTTTCGTGAGGGTCATATGATAAAATGCTTATTGACTGAGTTAGGTCGGGCCGTACGGGAAAATATTTGGCTCTCGGTCATTTGTACGGACCTCGCTGCGCTCGGTCCGTACGACATGACCTCGAGCCAAATATTTTCCCGTACGGCCCTCCCACTCAGTCAATAAGTACATAATACTTGCAGTCCAGGTATAAAGGATATGTACTCGCAAACAGGTTTAATGGATACTTCAAGTTGTTAAGTTTAGACAACTTCTCTACATAAACTAAAAATGATTTTTATTGATTTAAACTTACGGAGAAAAACGTTTTTTGGTAGACATAACTTTCAGGTCACCCACCCAGGTGCTAACTTCGCTCGACCGGACTTGACTCAATTGCATTGAAGCCCAAGTTTTTTCCACTGGACCACGTTTCCAGGTAAATCAGCATAACAATAGCCGTGAAAACAATGCACCGAATAGACTAGACTTTTTAACATTAAATTTCCAACCGATTCCGTGCGTGGCAGCGATGCAAGGGATTAGCCGATATGGTCTGGGGGCCGGCTGGTCTCTCCCCTGATGCTTCGGCTAGAACATTTTCTTGCGTAATTCGTGCACCCAAGGGCAGAAGGATTTAATTGCCGTCAGGCCCGAAGTCCATACGCCGCCTCAGCTCTGCGGATGTCTCGGGGGTATGGCAAAGTGGAAACGTTTTTTTGCCTTAAATTTCAGGCTTGGGTTCGAACCCCTGTGTATCCAGATAATATTTTCTCTTTTGCTAGTACTTTTTCATGAATTAATATCTTAATAATAATAATGATAATAATAATAACTTTATTTATTTATATAGCCCTATTTCCATAAAAAGCCCAATCTTCTGAAGAATGACTAAGCAAACGGAGATTGATCGATTTAAAATAATCCCTGAGAACAGTGTATTGGCAAAGCTTATACTTGACTCTCGGTATTATATACTTGTATTGGCGTACTTTAGGAAATCGTACGACCTCGAGTACTGTTGAGTGATGTTTTGAATGTTCGTGTAATTACGAGAGCCTGTAGGCGAGTACCCATTAATAACGATTAGCTCCACTGACTAGAGTCAGTAACACATATAATATGTAACCTCGTTTGCCGGAGCTATTTTTGTTTGTAAACACTATGATTACTAGAAATGGCTCAAGAAAAAGGAAAGAAGGAAGGAAGGAATGAAAAAAAGCAGTTTTTATTATGAAAGTTATAAAAATATCAAAAATATACCATTATAACAATATTTATAGATATTTGATAATCAATACGTAAACATCTGAAAACTCTAAAGATAAAAAATGATAACGACCACATACCAAGGCCACAATGCATTATGGACCTGAAGCATGTCTTTTTAACGACTGTATTTAAAGTCGAGCCCACAGTCAAAAATTTGTTTATTTTTGTATGAAAGATGAACGAAACCGCGACCCCAACTAATACCTATCATTTTATAAGTTTCGTAAAAAATTTTAAACTTAAAAAAGCTCGAAAAATATAAAAAAATTCAAGAAGATCTAAACGTTTTCTACATACATGAAGTATAAAAATATCGAATTTTGCCAATCAATTATATAAAACCTTTTTAAGCCACGTTTTGTAAACGGTATTTAAAGGTCTATCTTTAACTCAATCCCCGCTTGAGTTTAAAATCTTAATTTCTTAAATAATTTACTATTGATATTTTTGAAGCTAAAGCATAGGTTTCAAATGAAATAAAAACTTGTTATACCTTTCTTGTTTAAAAGTGCTTTTGAAGCACACTTTCTAAAATTTTTCGAAGGGAAAGAAACCACGTGACCGAAAGTCGTCACGTGACCACAACCTACATCAGTTAAACACTCTATTAGTCTATGTACATGTTGGTTCTTTGTTGAGTGGTTTCATTTGACGTCATTTCCTGTCTCCGATATGTTCATCAGCTGAATCTGGTCGTACGTTTTCGATAGAATTCTTTCTGGCTGACAGCACTTGGTGGTCAGTGTTTGACCACCACTTGGAGCAGATAATGAGGCTCAAAAAACTTTATCAGCAGTTTGAAACCCGGTAATAACATACGGCATGTTTCTTCAATATCCTTTGATCTTGAAGCCATTCACTGTCCCTACTAGACTATTCTGACTCTATCATACCTTGTGGTCAACCTAGATAAGCGTAAATATAAACAAGATCAGATGCACGACCGCTGTCAAAAGCTTCGCGTGCTCAGATTAGAAAAGGAGGCATTTTTTAGGGCAAGAATTTACTCGCGCTATGGATATTTTTGGAGATAGCGAACACGGTGCATTGTGGTCTAGCTTAGGTACAAACATCTTTTGTCTAACATGCCTTAACATGTTGTTTGTACCCAATCTAGACCACAATGCATCCGGGTTATGGAACTCAGAAAAGGCACATGGAAGCCCACGTGGAATGAATGTTGTATGCACGTGTAGGGTGAATACTTACACTTTGTCTCTCTTAACAATTTTGCTTTGGAAACAATACATGGCTACGAATACGACGAGGCCAATGAAGGCGGCTGACAAACACGTGGCCAGGATGATGTATTTATTTCTTTTGAGGGCTGTCATGTCCGCTTCGTCTGGAAAAAGAGCAGCAGCATTAAAACCACATTTTATTGATGACACCAAACTCGAGTTGCTTTTTTAAATTAGTGGGGTTCGTTTAGACACAACTGGCTGTGTTCCTATGACCTTATAAACCCCTTGAACTAATCCCCTACCTGTGGGTAGGTCAAACAATGAGAATATTACACACACAAAAAGATTTATTTTCATTTAATCCTCAAGAGAAGGAAATTCTTTTGTGTTAACCCCCTAAATTTGGAATCAGTGCAATGCGAGAGAGAATAAACAAGTCCTTTAACAAAGTTGAATCAGAGAACAAAAAAACTATCTTGGTGTGAGCCGGCTAAAAGGTAATAACGAAAGAATTTCTTTACAGATTCCATGAGAAAACGTGTGTTTTGCTATTATATACATATTCCTGTTAGCCTCGAATCGAAGTTAATTTTGAAAGGCGTCTGTCTATAGGTTAGCAATAAACTACTCGAATAGACCTCTTTACTTTGGACTTAATGTTTTTCCATCTCAGACCACGTGTCATTTCCTAGAGTATTATTTCTTCGTTTAACGGCTGCACATGAGAAGACACATGAATATGGATACGACTCAAACAAAGAATCTTATTCTCAAGAGAATGACACAAGGTCTGTAATTATAGAACATTATGCTAAAGGTAAAGACGTTTACTGCAGTATCATTCATACCTGTCTTTGGTGTTGGGTTGGTAAAAATATTATGGGTTATGTTAGCAGAAGACGCTGATCCACTGGCTGAAATGGTTAGTGAGGGATGAGGGACACACGTGGAAACACGAGATTGAAATGAGGTAGATAGGTGTGAGGGTGACAAGAGTGAAGGGGTTGATGATGATAATGATGGTGATAATGATGATGGTGATGGTGATAATGATGATAATGATGGCGATGATGATGACGATGGTGGTGATAATGATGGTGCTAATGATGACAATGATGGTGATGATGATGACAATGATGGTGATAATGATGATGATGGTAGTGATAATGATGATGATAGTAGTGATGATGATGGTGATGATAACGATGATGGTGATGATAACGATGATGGTGACGATTGTGATGGTAATGATGGTGAAGATGATGCAATCATTTCTTGTACAGAGGTAAATCCAGAGAAGACGGTTAGCACAGCTGTATCAGATAACAGAATGTTAATGAGGTACCATTAGCATTAGCACAGCAACAAGAATAAGAGGAAAGTGAAAAAACATAAAAAAAGTATAAAAGAGGCTCAGGAATAGACCTAATCCTCTGTTATCCCACTTGAGACCACGTGTCATTCCCTAGAGTATTATTTCTTTGTTTAATGGTTGCGCATGCAAAGACACATGAATATGGATACAACTCAAACAAAGATTCTCATTTTCAAGACGATGGCACGTGGTCTGAAATGGGCAAAACATTGCGGCCAAGTGGATTTGGTCCATTGTTATAAGTTCAAAGCAATTTTCAGCGATATAACAGAAAACTGATAATAATGGTGGTCATAGTGGCATAACAAGAGTCCTAGGTCCTAGACTTGGAGAAACGTGCGCGCGCATTCGCGACGCCAATCCACAAGAGATACCCATGAACGACTTTTTAGTTATCCCYATATACTCGAGCCCAGAGCCATGTCATTCCTACTGCGCATGCTCAACAAAATGCCATCTAGAGCATGCRCATTAAGATGGTTTGGTAAACACAGCGTCACCATGACAACCCTACAAAACAAACTACCATTGACCTTAAAATTTACCTGGCATTTCTTGAGTACTCTTAACGTTTGGGGATTTTCTCGTTATGACGTCGGTAGCTCTCGTCAATGCCTCGGTTATTGACATCACTCGGGAAGTACTCGTAAGCCAATCGGTTAACAGTTTGGTTGTTGTTGTTATGGGTTGTGTCGATACAGTTGTTTGTGGTTTTAGTGTTGTTAGTGGTGACGTGTGTGTAGAAGGTAGTATTGTGGTTATTTGTATCGTACTTGTTGGTGCTGTTGTTGTGCTTGTTGATGTCGTAGTTGGTGCTGTTGTCTCGGGAAAAACTGAAAAAAATGTAAAACACAACRAAGGATTTATCTTCTGCTCTACACAAATGATCTTCAGTGTTCCAAACCTGTCATTACCTTTTCTTAAAGGGACTGCACAAGACCTTGCCCTATAAGGGACCTCCTAGGACGTTATCTTATAAGGGACCTCCACAGGACCTTGCCCTATAAGGCACCTCCACAGGACGTTATCCTATAAGACCCTCAATAGGACCTTTAAGGGACCTCCACAGTACCTTAACCTATAAGGGACCTCAACAGGATCTCTTCCTATAAGGGACGTCCACAGTATCTTGTCTTATAAGGGACGTCCACAGTTCCTTGCCCTATAAGGGACCTCAACACGATCTCGTCCTATAAGGGACCTCCACAGGACCTTGTACTATAGTACTGTACCTGTACTGTTGAAGTTATAGTCTATTAGTTTGGTTGTGTTGCCACCCACTTTAGCACACATCACTTCATCGTAGTCTTGCACATGTTTCTTGTTCTGTTTGATCCAAGTCTGCAGCCATTGAAGACCCGACGTACACACCAATGGATTACCAGAAAGGGATCTAGTATTAATCAATCATCAATTTATTACTCAGTACTAATAAATATAAATCTGCTTGTACGCGTTTGATTGATATATACACACTTTTGTTGGGTGAAATACAACGTCTGTTATTAATCAGTAAAAAAAAAACCACTTCGAGTGGATCCAAGGTTTGAAGTTCACAGAAACTGTAAAAAGTCACTTCACTGAACAGCAAGAGGACATCCTTAGCACAAGTTCACGACTCAGCCAAAAAAAATATACTTGCAAATGTCACGGTCACGGTCACGGTCACGGTCACGGTCACGGTCACGGTCACGGTCACGGTCACGGTCACGGTCACAACACGTCCAATACTGTGAGTTTTGGACAGTTATGAGAAATTTGCTCTATTAGGAGTGTAGAATGACCTGTACATACATTTTGCCTTGGGAATTTTTCACTCGTTCAAAAAATGGTTCTGCTTCTTGTGGGATCAGTGTGATGAGGTTGTTACCAAGACCTCTAGAAAAATATAAAGATAAACAATGCCGTGAGATGGGAACATACATGTGAGCAATGGAACATGCGCAATGAAAATATCAAGAAATATTAACGTGAGCATACTCCAATTTGTATACAGCATTTGATGCAGCTGCTGTTGATAATGGTCACAGTAATAAGGAATGTGATGGTGATGATGGTCAGTGATGATGGTGATGATGATGATTATATGATGATGGTGATGGTGATGATGATACAATTGTGATGATGGTTATGATGATGATGACGGAGTTGATGATGGCGGAGATGATGACTGTGGTGATGGTGATGGTGATAATGATAATGATGATGATGGTGGTGATAACGATGATGGTGATAATGATGATAATGATGATAATGATGGTGATGATGATGATGGTGATGATGATGATGATGGTGGTGTTAATGATAATTGTGATAATGATGATAATGATGGTGATGGTGATGATGATGATTATTATTATGATGTCAAACGATGTATGATCACAAAAATAATGATAAGATGACGATGACTATAGTGTTGTACGGTGACGATAATGATAAAATCAGTACTCACATTTGTATTAATTGCGCACTTTTTATACCGTTAAGCGCTCTGGGCAAAGACGTTAGCCTGTTGTTTTCAAGGTTACTGAAGATAAATAAACATTCGATGTTAACAGGTGTAAATATGAAGACAACAAGCGGCCAACCTCCATTAACCGACCACACAGTCAGTTGATGTAAACAGGTTTGAATATGAAGGCGATAAAAGAACCAATCAAACCTCCATTAACCGACCACACAGTCAGTTGATGTAAAAGTCAGTTGATGTAAACCAATTAGACCTCCATTAGTTGACCACCAAATGTGTCAGTCCGACCGATTGATATTAGCAGGTTCAATCACTAAAATAAACGAAATACTTACACCATAAGAAGGGTCTTTCCTGCTGACTCGAAAGCTTTGTCTTCTATGCTTTGTATTTGGTTTTTGTTTAGATATCTAGGAATATATTTTATTGTATTACCTTAGATTTTATTCGCAATATTTTCAAAGATTAAAATTATGTGGTATAATACTTACAGAATTGCAAGCTTAGTTTGCTTGCGTAGCATGTCGCTGGAAATCCTTGTAAGATTGTTGCCATTAAGGTGACTATAGAAAGCAAGTCATTTTAAAAGTTATTTTACGTCTAAGATTCAGAGGAAGGTGTCTCCGCATTCTCTCGAGCCAGAGGTTCATGACTAAACAACTAGACGCCAGATTCAAATTTAGGAGTCGATTTTTGAGGAGTTGAGGAAAACCAGAAAATCAGAAACAAAACCCTCAAATCAAGGAAGAGAAGTAAAAACACTTGTAATATGTGATAGTAGAGTTTAGGATTGATTTTTAAAGGAAGCATTGGTGGCGTGCCCTGCTTAATGCGCCGCCTCTTACCAATGCGACCCAGGTTCGAGTCCCGTCGAGTCATGTGTTTTGCTCTCTACAAAAAACGACTTCTAAATTCTATCGGCTGCATGCCTTATCAGTTGGGTTGCAAAACCTGTTAGGCATTTTACCCCGTCAAAATAGGAGTGATACTTGAAATGCATTAGATCCCACAACCGCAGCGGTGAGAGAAGCCGTATTAACCGCGCATGCGTGCATCACCCCTCAGTGCTGCCAGTGAAATATTTGTTGGGATTTGTGATTTTCGCTTTATGTGCAAATCTCTTTTCTTTTCTTTCATTCCTCGAATTGATTTATTTCATTCAGTATTTATCAACTTCATACTCACAGACTAGTTAAATTGACAGCGCTATTTAAGAGTCCACTGGGAAGAGTTCTCAGGTGATTGTTATCCAAATTCTTGAGGAATCGAAGAAAAGACACCAAGTAGAGCCTTCGTTCCATCCAGTCAGCAGCCTTACGACTCCAGAGTGTGCGCACTAAAACCGGAATGCCAGGTCTTTTCTAAAAGTCAAAATGTGGAATCTTTTGCGCCTAGCTAGTAATTCTGCTGACTAGAAATTGATTGAAGGCTCAGCGAAATTATCGCTCACAATTTCGAGCCTTCATTCCATCTGGTCAGCAATAGAGGAACTCAGTGTGCGTACAACCGGAACGACAGGCTTTTCTGGTTTCCATTCTCCAAACTCTAGCGTCTTCACTTAGAAATTGCGCTGACCACAGGGACTGAAGGCCTTGGTGCCCAAAAATTATTCTCCACGCATGCGTACTTACAGTGTGTTTAAATTCGCCTGGTCTTTTAGCATATCTTCGGGTAGACTCGTTAGCTTGTTGTCTGACAGTGACCTTAAAAAGACATGTTTAGCCTCATAAACTGAGGATTCATTGGTAGAATATACAATAGCAGACAGACAGACAAAGGTCAGTAGACAAAGGGATAGACGGACAGACAGACAGGCGGAAAGATAGACAGACAGACCGTATGTACATAGAAATAGCAAATAGTGTTTCACTTACAATTTGGTCAGAGTAGTTAACCCACCAAATGCATTACTAGATATTCTTCTTATTCCGTTATTTGGTAGATTTCTGAATCACAAAAAACAATTAAAAAGGACATCGCAAAATGTGCGCAAAGTTGGAGGACAAACGCAACGTCAAACAAAGTTACTTCAACATGTAACAACTCCAAAAATGAAATAAAAGTTGATTACTTTTTAGCTTTGAAAACCGCGCGCAGTTTATCATAGCTTTCCGCGTTTATTAAGACATTAAGACGGGATGAAAAGGGGTTCAAATATTATGAAACTTTTACAAGATAAAACAACGATGACAGATCTCAGTGCAACGCAGTTATGAATAGTGGAAAAAGGTAGTGAAAGTTAGATACTTACAATGTCTTTAACTTTGATAGGCCATTAAAAACTCCATCTGTAATATTTTCTATTTTATTTTGTAACAATTCACTGGGGGAAAAAGTAACTTAAAATCAATTAAAGAAGGAAATATGAGGCTCTATGATAGCGGTATATATGACGTGTTTTTTGGACATGACGTCACTTAAATTATGACGTTATTACGTCATTCTAGCTTTTCAATCTACAAGCGATGCGTTGATGCGCGCATTGCTAAGATCTGGATGGGAGCCATGTCAATAAACCCGAGATACTGTTCTAAGCACAAATTTTTAAATTATATTAACAAAAACAACGCTAAATAAACTAGAGATTAGATGGCGGTAAAGTTCAAAAAGGTATGGGAAGCTGTCATAGCTTCCTATTGTTTGATTGTAATTGGAAATTTTTGGGTTTAATGAATGATGTTGCTTAAATCCCTCGATAAGAGGACCCGACAACATAGTCTGTTTTTATTGGAATTCTGGCCTTATATATACTTTGGCGCGCGTTTGCCAGTGAAAATGTTGAAGAAGAACAAAGAAAACAACGAGGAAAGGTAGAAGATCAAAAAAAGAAAAATAGAAGGAGAAAGAAGGAAAAGAAAGAAAGAAATTAAATATAAATTTTTGAAAAACGAAGAAACGTTCAAAACTTTCAAACGAATATCAATGTTAATGTAATGTTTTGCATGTTCGTGAACATAGTTTTTCGTCTTTCTCTTTACTGTCTGATTTACTTTAGGATTTACAAAGTTGAATGACCTTTTCAAAGAAAGCCAACAACACTCAACTAGGATTTACATTAATTGTACAGATCCTGGGAAAGGTCAAAGAAAAGTTAAAGAAAACAGTTCATTGTTAAAAAGTTCTTATAAATTCGTATTTTCGATCGTGAGGTTATCGACAGATAGATACTTTATTTTCAATAGCTTTCCTGTCGATATTGAAAGCTAACTATTCACCCAGAACTAAACACGTTTTTCCTATTCTCTCGACGTCAGAACCCACCCATCTTAAAAAGCGTATTTCCTTTTGTATTTTAGAGTTTTCCAAATTATTTTATAATCAAAAACGACGAAATCACGTTCCAAATGAATTAAAACATTCAACACTACAATATTAATTATCCGTTGATTGTACGAAGTGTTTGTCAACTATTTATTGCTTTGTGGATGTATGTCGGTGCCAATATGAATCATTCAAAATGAAACAAAAATAAATAACTTACATTTTTACGAGATGTGATAATTTTGAGAAAGCATTTGCAGAAAAGCTGGTAATTTTGGTGTTCGTCAAAAACCTGTTGACACAAAAAGACAATCATTTTCACAAAAATATAAGTAAAAATGACATTGAAGTGATAAAATACGTTTATAAAATGAGAATAACGAGCCATAAATGGTTATGTTGCTCTAGAATTGTGGATTATTTCAGTTATTAGAATATTTAGATAACTAGTTTTTGCAAATAAGAATTCGTGTTTTGAGAGGAAAGCGCTGGAGCAGAAAGAATAGAGCAGAAAGATTTCTTTTCTGTTAATTCAATTACTTTGCTGTATCCCACAAGAATTCCCTAGAACAATTAGAATTTTTTAATAACCAAGATTTATTGACTTAACTCGACGTATTTGAACGGTTTTGCTTGCTTTTTGAATTCTTGTAGTAAATCATAAGAAGCGACAAAAAGCCGACAAATTGTCAACAGTTTCGACATGCTCAAAAAAACTTTGAAAGGAATCCTAAAATTTCCATTTCCTCTGCTAAAAACCTGCCAGATCTTGAGTCAAACACTTCAGAATCTTTTTCAAATGATTGTTCATTGTTCACAAACTTTTGACATGAAAAAATTCAATGGTAGTTGAGGCAGTTAGTACATTTATGCCTCTAAAAGTCTTCAAAGAAAAATATAAATTTGCAATCAAATACTTAGATGTGTTGAGCACGCTTTGAGTCGCTCTATTAACTCATTTGATATGTAAACAACAAACGCTTTGCTACTGAAAACACATTAAAAAACTATATAAAACTACTAAAATACTACTTACATTAAATTTGTATCTAGTGGTATATCGTTAGGCAGAGTTGTAAAATTCGCACCAACACATTCAATCCATTTAGATCCACTTTGAAATCCACATACACAAGGACTTGGACACGAGCTGGATAGGCTGATCAAGGTACAAAACACAAGATTCAAAAAGATCAGGATTTTGTCGAACCGGACATGTAATCTAGAGTTTCCATCCATGTCCTTAAGGGTTTGATTTCAATCTAGGAATGAAATTTGATCGCTCGAAAATAAACACTTGACAGGAATCATTGACAGAACCACAAGAAAAGTAGCTTCTAAATTGACGCATGCGCATTTAGTGTGCAGTTCAGTCATCCAAGACCACGCTATCCAGGGTGTCTTTATTTGTACACCAAAAAACGGAAATACTTGAGAGTTCTAGACGTTTCATTCAGATAACGTATTTTATCGGCTGAGCCTCTTTTCAAATCTCTTTCTCGTTCCATTTTTTAAGAGTTATTGTGTTGTGAATAATGTCATTCCCAAGGGAACGCTTTGTGCGTTTTACCACCCTATTTACATACGAGGAATTTACGAGTTCACTTACTTTTGAGCGGTTAGCTTAATTTTACGGTATTTTAAAAATCAGTTTATTATATTTGTTTTTCGATTAATGATTTCTCATGGTTCAGGAAATGAAAAAAACTTGCAAATTTTTTTCATTTTTGAAGCTGAACTGAGTCAATATATATACTGTAATAAAACTGGACATGTAATCTAGTAGAGTGACTCATACGATTATCGCTACCACCCACTACCACCTGTATTAAATATACTCATGTCATATATTGGGAAACCCGGAAACGAGGCTTGTTAGTCATCTTGCATAACTAACTCTTCATTTACAGTATCGAGGTTTTTGTTAACCCTTTTTTTCGCTTATTCTGCAAAACAATCAAACATTTGATCAAGAAAAAAGTGAAAAGGTGGGTGTCCTGTGTGATGATGTGTTCCTTTAACTTGAATTGCCGTATTCTAAATATGTGAGTTATGTAATCTAATCTGTTTATTCTTAACCAATCAAGAAGAGCACATAAACATACATAATCTAATCACACGGAAGCCATTCGTGGTACCCAGACTCTGAAATGGCTTCCACTCTGAACCAATCAAGAAACAGGCACCATCAAACCACACGGAAGCCATTCATGGTACCAAGATGTCTCTGAATTGAAATGGCTTCCACTCTAAACCAATCAAGAAACACAGAAACACGCACCATCCAATCACACGGAAGCCATTCAAGACTCTTCCACAGTCTCTCGCTCGTCCGTTCCGTCTCCACGCTTAGAGACTGTAACRGTACAATGACCGAAAGGACTTATGGGTCCCGAAAACTTGGACCCAGCGTGCTTTGGGAACCAAAATACTCGTCCACAGTCTCTCTCTTTTTCGCCGCCATCTTGAAAATATTGAAACGAGAGAGACTGTGGACGAGTATTTTGGTTCCCAAAGCACGCTGGGTCCAAGTTTTCGGGACCCATAAGTCCCTTCGGTCATTGTACCGTTACAGTCTCTAAGCGTGGAGACGGAACGGACGAGC